TGCCTATTTACGGCCGAGTGAAAGTGTCAAAATGCTATTAATGTAACGCAATGTGTGATCTATTTCATGATGGATCGCAATTGCTCTCTGAACTCGGCTAATTGCTTAAACAAAACCGAATTTCAGTCAGGAAGTGAGGCCAAAGTGATGCACATGGAAGTCAGCGTTGTTTCAGGTGAAAGCATACTGGCAGTCAAGCAGAGCGAACTGCAAGAGGTGCTCCGATTGATCAACTCTGGCCCTCAGTCCACGGTAAATCTAGTCAGGGACCAAACGAAACTATATCTAGAGGTAGAACCACTCTTCTTGGCAGGGTTCCGAGGAATGTTAACTGACACCTTACAGTGTATCTGTGATGGCCTCGCAAGGAAAGTCGAAGAGTTGGAGGACGTGTCCCGGTTAACTCTTTCCACTCCATTGAGAAATGTAGAAGATGCTACATGTACTTTGTCTACGAATCGTTTTATAGATGTCCAGGAGATGACTGAAGGCGACAGAAGTTGTAGGTCTTATCCCGATTCCCATGTCTTCCCCACTCTTCCCCACTACGAAAAGGTCTTTCAGATCTGATGCTATCGCCTACTCAACTTGGTAGAGCGGCGCTGGTATCTTCGCTACCTCCAGATGCAGCGTTGTTTGTATTCAGTGATCTTCAACAAGCCACCAAAGCAATAGCTCTTGACAGTGAACTTCATATGCTGTACCTGGTATGTTTAGCTCCCGCAGAAGTGCATGAGAAAGTCTTTTCAGACGCCGTTTAGGTGACTCCAACGAATTGCTCTGTATGGCAAGGATGTGATTGGAACCATTTACACAGTATCTTCTCGAAACTAACTGCTGGAGAAAAGAGAGTGGCTAAGTTGGTAAGTCGAAAAAGGGTTCTGAGCTGACAGTTTTGCAGTAACTGTGATGTTCCTCATAATACCTTGTTACCCACATAGTTTGTTGCTGTGACTTCATCGCAATCGCTTGGGTTTTTAATGAACGCTTCTCAAAGATTAAATTCATGTTTTACCACCAGGCGTAAGGCACATCTATCCTTTTAGGACGAGTTCATATAGAAACCAGGCGACTGTGATATGATCAGAGCGGATAATTGAGTTTGGGGAAGGGTAATTAGTGCAAGGGATTCTACCTAATACTTCTATGGGAACACTTTAAAGAAGGATGAGCTTTCAGTCCTGACATTTTTCAATATTTTTGTTCATCTTCGTGTGTTTTACGTTTGTGCTGATAGTATTTGCCACAAAGTTCGCAAGATCCAGTTTACCGGAATTCTCTGGACGCCTCTACGTGTTTTCTGTATTAGGACGCTACCCAAGCGTCTATGTATCATATATTTGGGTACTTCTTCGTTGCTTATTCATTCAGACTGCGTGACTGGCTTAATGACTGAACTGCCTACCCACAAGACACATTTACGCGACACTTCTTTACGGGTTCCATTCCGACTCCACTGCTGAAACTCATGAAAAA